ATATACACGTATATATGGTGGGTTTTTTTTTTCCTGGATTTACCAGTAATTTATGCAGCTTGTGAGATTTCATCTCAGAATGTAAAAATCCCCTGGCAGAGTGTCTTCATGCCACCTCAACATTTTTATCTATCTTCTCTGCCTGCTGCTTGTCTGAAAAACATGTAACGAAATACACAAAAAAACCCGAGAGAGAGGAAGATTTGTTTATATATCTGGCAATCCATCTAGTGTAATGGTAGGTCTTCCTGTGACCTTTTCGTGAAATCCAGCCCTAACTCACAAAGTCGATGGAAATAGAAATGAGAGGAGAATAGAATATGACAGGAACAGCAGACAGATCTGCCCTTCCCATTGAATGAAGCTTGGCAGGTATTAATGACGAAACGTTTTATTTCATTAAGAGCAGTAACAACCAGTAGGAAAAAGCAGTTTTGAGAGAGTCTGTTTATGATTAGATCACACAGCACACTGACATAATGCTGAACTTTATCCAGCTTATCTAAAAAGGGTACAAGTCATGAACCATCTCTGCTCTTTGGACATTATGTAGTCCATACTCCTGGTTGGACCACTTCAGGAAGAAAGACATTTTATCCTTGACTGTTAGTTTGAACATACTGTATCACCTCCTGACACACTGTCATTGTCTCAGGACAGCAATGCTCCACAATGAACAGAATCAGACGTGTTTATTTCTAGGTTTAAAGTTTTCCTCTGCAATAGCTTTCAACTTTTCGGTGCATCAGAGGCACTGAGACAAAAAAGAAAGTGGATAAAAAGGAAGAAAATTCGTCTCAAGTATCTGTCACTCTGGTCTTACTATCTTCTAGTCTAGACTGTCTAGTCAATTCATCCAGGAGAGGAATCTTAATGAGTGGTCTGGATCATCCTCTGGGGGGTCTCTGTCAGTCTCTCTTCATCAGATTCAGACAGAGCCAGCACAATTAAGTTAGGCTAGATAGCTAAAGCTTGGGAAAATTAATCCCACAAAAAATGTCCTGCAGCAAATTAGAAAACATCAGCCATTTCCTCCTCATCATACACACATATTCAACAACAGTGTCATTTTACTTTTTCCTCAAAGAAACCTTTAAGTCACAATTTGGCTTTCCAGAAGCCCTCCAGCTTGGATGATCATGTAACACACCAGTTGCACCAGGGGAAGGCTCCTCTCCTTCAGTGGTCAAACCTCCTCTCTTTCAAAAGTCAGATCCAGAGGTCCTCAGAAGTAGCTCAGATGGCAGCTCTCCCCATAGATATGGGGAGAAAAGGTTGTTATGGCAGACACAACTGTGATTAAAACCAAGATCTTGATCTATTTTTGATCTTACAAGAGAAGCAAAGCATAATCTTATTTTCTTCAAGGTATGACCCACAGACACAGCTGTGATAGAACCAGACTACTTGATGTCTTTTTCCATGGCTCAAAAATGTCCTTGCTAGTTAATTTTAATTTACACTAACTTCCTGTATTCTATAGGCAGGCATGCACATGGTAATGCAATTACATGGAGAAAGAATACCCCTTTCTCATTTTCCAAGCATTAATGAAGCAGAACGGTTTTATCTTTGCTGTTATAAGGTTAATTAGTATGTTGTCAGCTCAGCTACAGCCTACAAATTACATAATTTTGGACAGTTGGTGTCAGTTCTTAGTGCCTTATCTAAGCCTCTCTTGAGTCAAAAGAAGGACGTTCTTTGGTCTCAGAAGGCTGTGACTCAAGCCCAGAGTTTGTATAAAAATGATGCACCTGCTCAGTAAGAATAATAAAATCATAGACCTTCTGTTGAAAGGGGCCTCTGAAGGTTATTTCATTCATTTTCCTGCTCAAAGGACTGTTGCCAAGACTAGGTCAAGTCAGCTCTGTCTGGAATCTTGGACATCTCCAGGGATGATGATGCCACCACCTGCCCAGGCACCTGATCCAAACCTGAACCATGCTACTAGGAAACACTTTTTTCCTGATGCCCACCCTGAACCCCCCCAGCAACTTGTGGCTGTGGCTGCCTGGGGTATGGTCTGACATCTCCACACTACATGACTCTGTCTCTGTTATCACTGTTCTTCCATGTGGTCAAAGGGCCCTTTTCGCCTGCCCCAGCTCATCTTCCTTGGCTTCTCCTCAGCTGGCTTGTGTGCCTCAGCTCCTGCCCATCTCTGCAACCATCGGCTGAGCCCTCCCCAGTGTCTTGCCATGATCCAGGAATTCAAACTGGCGACATTGGCTAAGTATAGGCTTCTCAGTGCTGGGCAAAGGAGGTAAGATCTTCCCTTCAGCTGCTGGCCATGCTCCTCCTGATGTAAGCCCAATATACATTTTGCACTAACCACTGAGAACTTGCTGTTAGCTCAGGTTCAACCTGAATGTGAGTGTAACTAACTGCTATAGCCTTTGGGACATCTTCAACTCCTCAGCACATACACATGCGGCATTTATTCCTCCCCAGATGCAGAACTTTATATTTCACCTTGACAAACCTCACGGGATTTCCGCTTGCTCAGTCCTCAAATTTCTCAGGGTCCATCTGAGTTGGAATTCTGTCATTCAGCATGTCAGTCACTCCCCTAAACTGGAAATCTGCTGAGGATGCACTCTGTCATTGCTCAGGATGTTGATGATGTTCAGTGCTGCAGACCCCATGATTGACCCATGAGCTATTGCACTCATTGCTGGCTAAGGCATGTGCAACCGCGGTACCTTCATCTTTTCATTTGTCAAGTTTGTTACAGTTCCTAAACGTGCCTGACAGTTTTTGGGAATTTATAACAACAACAGAAAAAAATCAGACACCCAGATAGGTGAAATGTACATCGATTCAGAAATCTCTGTTCTTTTCATTCCCTTCTCCTGCTAATTGCTTGTGAGGTAAATGTCACAGCATGAGGCCTTCATAAGCTTCTTCCTGCGGGGATGGTCTTGCTAAGAAACAGTTGGTTCTGTGCTTTTTGAGACCTTGCATTAATTGTGAGACTGCTCCCAGTAAACTGAAATGGACTTCAGTTTGCTTTGTTCCTCACCTCAGCAAGCTTTAGGGTCATAAAAGGCACTAGCAAATGGACTGCCTGAATCCCTGACGCTTTCTCTTCCTTCTTAAGGCCTTCCCAGGGAACTGCTGAAAATTAGCACCAATTTAACATAAGCAGTTTTTTCACATGGACACCACATGTTGCTTTACCTTTTATCTGTATGATTCTTTTTTCCCTTTTTTAATTTTCCTTTTAGTATTCTTTTTTCAGTCCTTCTATAAGAAGAGTTGTGATTTCTTCCTGATTTCTGTATTCAAATAATTACCCTCAAGAAGTGGTAGCTTTCTCAAGAAGTTTTCAGTGCCCCCAACTTTGTCTTTGCATTGTGTTGTGAATGGAGCTGTGGGAAACACAGCCCGTGTGGGCCAAAGTGGATTTACAATACTCTTGATTAAGAAATGGCTTGGCAGGCACCTAGTTTTCAAAGCTGGGCTGCCTAACCAACAGCAGCAGAAGCTGAGTTTCTTTGTAAGAGAGTTTTAAGCTTGATGATCTTATTTTTATTTTCCCTAAATTTAAGGGCTCTGGTTCTGAGACAGCAATGAGTGTCTTCCCACGTGGAATCAAATTTCTTTCTATAAATCTGTTTTTGTAATTATGACATCAATAAATAAAAAGCAAAAATTTTGGTCAAATTATAAATAATGCCAGGTAAAGTGTTGTAGCACTTTAAGCTAAAATGTTTGTACGGTTACTGCAGGTGATGGATTGGCCCTAAACTTTCCAAAAGTCAGGGAATGCGTGGGAAGGGGTTGGAATTAGATGATCTGTAAGGTCCTTTCTGACCTAAACCTTTCTATGATTCCACGATTCTTTGGAAATTGACAGCATAGCTGTTCTGTGTGGCAAAATATGGAGAGTAATGGGCATACAAAAGTCAATATCAGGTAATAATCTTAGAAATTACTATTTTTCTAATATATACGTAAGAAAAAGTGAGAGTTGGTGGACGAAACTATTGAATGAGAAACAGATTTTTTTCCATTAAATGCAAAATGGGCAATATTTTGAGAAACCAGAATATAGAAGGAAGACCTATAGGAATGGAAAAGTGGGCCACAGGATGCCATAGTGGTTTAGGGGATGATCTGCACTTAGCTTTCAAAGCCCTGTGCTATGCAGGAGAGCAGTACAAGACAGACTCCAGCTGAAGTGTCCTGGGTGACACAGAACAGCTTGGAGGGAGCTGTGGGACCACAGTGTAGAAAAAGGACTGTGTCCCAGTGGGAGCCCAGGACAACATGTACTAACACTTTGAAGAGAGAAACATTAAAATATGTTCTTTAATGCTCTTTCATAGGTTGCTGGGTTAGTCACTTTGCTTCCCAAGCCACCTTGGAAAAATGGGAGTGGCAACACTGACATCCTCTGCAAAGTGATGCGATACACAGTGCTCCGTCAGGAGCAGATACTCCTGCTTCCTATTGCTACTGCTAACCATCATAGTCACCATTCCCTGAATGCAAAGGGGAAGCATTCCAGCTGTATTTGATGGATGGGCTGAAAGGGCTGGCTTGTTATTTACCATGGAGTGTACTCCTTGCAGGATCCTGTACAAATTCAGTGAAATTCATTGGCTGTGCCCAGATAAACCTGAACAGCAGTGCAGCCTCTTCCAGCCTGCTTTTACTGCCTCCGTTTCTACCATCTGGGGGCTGGGTGTCAGCTCTGTATGGCAGGCAAGCTGCTGACCATGTGCCTTGCTCTCTCCTTCCAGGAGCGGGTACCGATGCCAACGTGTCCTTGATCCTGTTTGGGGAGAACGGGGACAGTGGGACCCTGGCTTTGAAGGAGTCCAACAAGTCTAACAAGTTTGAAAGGAACCAGATGGATGAATTCAGCTTCTCAGACATGCTGAGCCTAGGAGATCTCTGCAAAGTTCGGATCTGGCATGACAATAAAGGTCAGGGCAGCGACCTGTGGGGCAGGAGAGGTCGGGACAATGTTTTCAATTAAAGCACCTCCTCTGTGGACATAAGGCAGGCTGAGGGCACTCTTCTGCAGGCTGAGTAATCTCAAGGATCTTACCTGGATACTGTGTCCTAGTTTGCTTGCCTAGACACACCCTGTTATAGAGACCTTCTCCGTTCATGCTGGTGTGGTGTCTACTCTAATGGGTCCACAGCTTCAGTCTGAGCTTATAGCCACTGCAGCAGTACAGATAACAGCTCTTCCAAAGCAAAGCCATTTGCTGGCTCTTTTAGTGCAATACCTTTTTTCGCAGGCTGGTATGGCACTTCTTTAGCAATTTAATACTATCAGCCTGACACCGACACATGGGGTATTGCAGCCTGGCATAACATAGTGAGCTTTAGAAGATGGAAATAAAGATCTGTGTCTGTCTTTATTAAAATCACTATATCAGCCAGTGAGCTTGCATTGCCCTGCCAAGAGAGATTCTGACATTTCCTTGCTGCTGAACACCCTGATGTGTTTCACAAACAGCAGCACTCGATACCGCTGTCATAGCCATTGGTGTTATTATTCAGGCACCAAGCAGCATCTTGCAACAAATGCATCACTCACTGCTGTGATGACATCTCATCACATCTCTATCTAAAAGAGATTATTGGTGACTTCCTTGCTAGTGGCAGGACCTTGCTGCAGCCCAGATGTGAAGCTTTATAGCTCTCACAGACCCACTTGGGTCAGTGTTAACAAGGCGATTTTGGCAGTAGTATTTATCAAAGTCCTGGGAGGAATGACAGCAGGACTAGCCAGTTGTTGTCTGATTGTACTGAGGCAGCTGGTTTACGGCTGGGCAGGGGTTATATGTCAGTATGGATAGATCCTGGCCACCATCTTCTTGACCTCTGCAAGTCATGGCCGATGGGAGAAGGCTGAATCACATGCAACATTAATGGAAGATACTACCTCTGGATCAGACTCTCCCACTGAAAGTTTGCCCCCTTATTTTTATTTAAAAAAGTAAAAAGTAAAAAGAAAGGAAACCTTATTGTAGCCTCCATCTATTGTGAAATATGGGGAAAAAACCCATCCACCTAACATGACTGTTTATTCCCAGCCACTGCAAACTTTGCTCCCATTTATCACTCTCACAATGAAAGACAATTCAGTTGCTTAACCTCTGCAATATCATGTTATACAGCCGGTGCTTAATGCAGTCAGGGCACTGTTTTTACCTGATTTTGGTTGCCAAAATGCTTCTTTGAATCTTCAGTTTAGATACAGAAATAGAAAGGGCTATAAAAATACTAGAGTTTAAGCTCAGCAAACAAGCATCTCTGTAGTTACAAGGCTAGTTCGGATGTCCTGAGAGCAGGAAGAAATAAATACAGACTTGAAGATTCGTTTCCAAATTCATCACTAGCTAAATGCATACAAAAAGAACACTTTCCTCAAATCACATCTTGGTACCCCAGTGATGGGTCATGCCAACAAAACGAAATGCACCCACCAGATCAGAGCTCGTCCATAGGGCTTAGTCATGTGGACAGGCTGGGGTGTAAGGAGATGAGAACTTCGTCAGCTGAGGGCCTGTTGAGCCCAGCAGCTGTTTCCAACAGCAGCATCACTGGGTGCCCAAAGAAAAGGAGGAATTGCAAGAGTGTATACTCAATCCTTCCCCAGTCCTCTGCATCTTACTATGCATAGCTCTGGGCATGTCATGAACTGGTTATCTAGTGTATTTTCTCATTCAAGTGCTTATCCAGACTCTCCAGAGACATTTGGCACCCATGGTAAGCCGTGGCAATGAGTCCCATGGGTCTGCTCTTTGCTGAGTGACAAGCAAATCCTGTTAATCTGTGTGGTTTTGCTGCCTTTTCCTTCTTGCACAAGTGACCAGGATTTAACTTCTCCATGCCACTGATGATGATATTGATGCAGGTTGGGAAGTATCCACCTTGCAGCTGTGCTATGGTAACGACTAGCAACACACTCTTGGTTAGAGGCAAAGGGAAGAAACAGAGTTTAGCCTTAGGCTAAGCAGTAAATAGGTTCAATTAGTTTAAATTTGCTATGGGCTAAGACCATCTACTCAGATAGCCACCACAAGTCTGCTAAAATAGTAAACTATGTGTCTAGAACCTGAAATATAAATATAAATACATATTGCAACTCTCTTCCCTTATTACCCTCGTATCACTGGTTTCCTTTTATAAACAAAAGTCAATAAGGCTTTTACCAGACCTAGTTGACTGCAGGGTTAAGCCTTGGACAAACAACATGATCAGATTTTGCTCAACAAAAATGTACTTGTTTTTCCCCCCTAGAAAGAAAGAGAACTGTATTTTAAATTATAACATATGTTGTCTTCATTGTTCTTGCATTAGTCATGCAGCAGACATATCCTACCTAAAACTTTGCACAATGCAGCATGACAGTTTGTTGGGTGGGTAAAGTATTTATTACTGCTGGGATCCCAGGGTATAGCTAGCCTTTGCATATATGCCTGCTCTCTTTATATGGTTTACGTGAATTGGCTGTGCCACTGGTTAGAAACTCCTGGCTGTATGTTCTGGAAAGGAGTAGCGGGGTCAGGGGTCAAGGGTTGTGTATGGTTTTTGTCAGATGCTTGGGAGACTTCGGGTATTAAATAAAAATGTGCTTGTATTTACCATTACTTAGAGGCATCAGATGTTGATCATTCTTTCCTTAGTTTTGGGTTGGTTTTTTTTCTAAGAACTAAACAGTTTTCTGTCAATGGTCTGTGGAAGACAGCCTCACACTGGCCTATCCTGCTGCTCCTGCATACAATCATAGACTCACAGACTGGTTTGGGTTGCAAGCGACCTTAAAGCACATCCAGTTCCAACCCCCTGCCACAGGCAGGGAAACCTTCCACTACCCCAGGGTGCTCCCAGCCCCCAACCTGGCCTTGAACACTGCCAGGGATGGGGCAGTCACAGCTTCTCTGGGCACCCTGTGCCAGCATCTCACTACCCTCACAGGGAAGAACTTCTGCCTCAGATCTCATTTCAATCTCCCCTCTGGCAGGTCAAAGCCATTCCCCTTGTCCTGTCCCTACAGGCCTTTATAAAAGACTCTCTCTCTATTTCTTGTAGGCTCCCTTTAGGTACTGGAAGGATACATACATGCTGAATGCTTGGAACATAGTTGATGTTCTTTTCCTAACATTCTTAGTAATCAGCCTCAGTTACAGCATCATTCTGTTTTCACTCAGATTAGATGCATTTAGCACTAGTTCAGGGCTAGTTCAGGGAACTACTAACTCTATTTCCATTCAAACATCACCTAATCCCAGCAAGAAGTCAACCAAACTGCTCCCATTTCAGAACAAAATACATTTAAATGGCTTGTCCAAGGTGGCTGCTTTGACATGAAGTCCAGCTCCATATTCCATCCTCACTACGAAGTTTTGCTGCAGTGGCTTTGCTCTCATCTCACATGCCACTTTTGTTTCTCTTCTCACTGAAATCTGACTGCAGAAGGGTATTGAGATTTGAAGAAGCCGTAATTGCAATGCCAAAGGCTGTTGGAAGGTTTTTAAATCACAAACAGTGTGTTTGTCTCCTCTGGAAAACATGTCGATTTTATGGTCCCACTTCAATGCTTTTAAATGCCATTTTCCCCACAAAACTGCTGAATGGCATCTCCCTATGAGATATAAAGGAGGAATGAAACCCCCATATAATTCCTCTGACTTCAGTAAAATTGATTAGGCAGGAACTAGGCACTCATTTGAAAACAGGCGGTTTAGAGACTTCACAACTGCAACTTTAAGAAACTTGTTCCTGGTTTTTTAGCTGTTTAGAGCTCACCTGTGAGAGTCTGGTGACAATGAATCGCCGTAAATGAAAATTAGTTTCAAGCTTTGCTCCACATCTTTTTAGCTTGCCTCTGTTTGCTTTTAGATACTGATGTTCAACCTAGTATATTTAGAATCCCTGAGCAAATTTAATCGTTTCCAGACTCCCCATCTCCTGATCTCAGATAGACATTACGTATTTTTTCATATCTCAGTTAATTTACTTCTACATTTATGCAAGATCAGTATCTGTAGGTCTGTAGATACGCTGGGTTTCTAAATATAGGCCTCAATTTTTTCTCTGGTTTAAGAACTAAATCACCATTCTGGAATAATGGCTTAAAGTTTTCTCAGTATCTCAGTAATGGAATTATTTACCTAGAAAACCATTTTTTTTTTCCTTTTTCTTCTTGCAGAGATATATCTCCAAGGACATATAGGAAATCTGGATTTAGCTCCCTCATCTGCCTGAGTAGATTTGAACCCAGATGACAAGCAGTCTTTCTAAACTCATTAATTTCAGATTCTTGATTATCTCAGTTGCCATCAGACAAGGGAAGCCAGGAAGAGTCTAAGTATGGGTAAACCAGACTTCTCTGTGTATAGCAGCAAAGACAGAAGTAAATAACAAGGTTATTCAGGCCAACATCTTTGCCTCAACAGGGCCCTTCTCTCAATTACACCACTGCTGTTACATCATCTAATTGAGTTTCAAATAGCATAACTGTCCCAGTGACTCCTTTCTGGTGGCTCTCCAAATTAAGAAAGTATCTAATTCCACTTATTTGATCTGGACCCAAGTCAGAAACCATAAAGGCATACTCCTTTTTTTTCTTTGAAGGAACCACCTTTTTGAAGAGCAGTATCTTGGATCAGATCTTAAATTGCCCAGGCACTGAACTCATAGCGCATGGCCTTTCCAGAGATATATTTGTGCAATTCACAGACATGATTTAAATTCTTTTGGGCACTTGTAGGTCATAAATTATTAAAAGAAACCTAAAGATCTACATTTTTAGCCCTTTGTAAGGGCACACCCCAGCACTGACCCACAAAGTCTTTACATACCATGCACCTTCCTCCCTCTGAAGTGGTAGTTTTTTTTCCTTACATTCAACATTCCTGTCACAAAGATGTGCTACAGGCATTACAGCAGAAGCAGAAGACACTTC